GTCGTATGATATGCAAATATTTTAAGAGACTATGTATATCCTGTGAGACGATTTGAACGAGTGTGTGAATACTTATGATAACAGTATGAAATTCGAGGGAAGTGTTTGTGATCGACATTGTCGTTGAATACCAAGAGATAAAACGAATAATTTTGTATGTGCAATAGTTCATATAAGACGTTGTAGACGTGGAAAAATGACGGAAAATAGTAGAATTATTAGGCGACTCAAACGTGTAGTGAAGTTTGTTATGATAGAATTTAGCGTTGTGAAGAAATAATCTCAAGGTGTATAGGATCGCCAGACATCATGTGCTTCTTTTCTATTTACGTATCCTATAGACGAATGTTTTCTCCATTTGTCTAGCAATACAGATCTAGGCAAGCATAAAAATTTGACAAAAATATTCATTTAATATACTGGCAAGTTAGTTGTAGGCAAATGGATAATCAAGTCTACCCTTCGGAATCGCAAAATACCTTAAGAAAGCATAACAGTTATTAGCATTCTGCGGCTTGTTACAAAGTAATATAATATAAAATAACTCCGTATAAATCTCGCGTTTGTTTTATTCTCGTTTCTCACTTTAATATTAAACTGAAATGTAGATAGTAAGCAAACCTGACTGTGTAGTTTAAATTGGATAATGAAAGTGAAAAGATATAAGCGTGAAACTTGTGCACTGTGGTAGATTTTACTTCCATCATGGGTAAAATTTGTTTTGATAAAGTCTCACAGTGTTATACAGTAATGTTTACTGATGACGTTTGGAGCGCAATTTATTGGTCATATTCATTTGAAAGTACTCACACAACTTTCTCATTTCGTTGATATAGTTCCATTATTTCCCATCGCTTGATTTGATTGGTAGTAGTATTTTCGATAATTCCGGTATGAGTGATGAGTCATTCCTACTGCATGTGTTGGGTGCAGCCTCGAAGAACAAGGATTCAATAATCAACCTCCCTCTACGCCTACCTAGATTACTTTATAGAATTTAAACTCTCTGCCTCCCACCGTATTGTATGATTGTGTGTTGATGCATGCAGTGCGATTGCTGAACTTTTTCCTAAATTACTTATCTTCTAGGGGTCAACCATTCTTACCGTAGCTATATGGATTTATTGACTACTTAAAACCAAAAATTGTGGTGGAATGTATGGTACCACTAAATTACCTAAGCCAGGTTACCCCATACGACCAATAGTAGATTTCAGGAATACCGGTACTCTGTTCTTTCTTTTGTGTATCTACTGGTTTCCGACTATATTAGCACTATGAGTATTACAAAGTTGTCCTTTCTTTAACGTTCATGTTGTTGTTTTTGTTCAGGAATATTAACTGACAATCATGGTTGTGAATGCCATTATTACCACCTTAACAATTTTGTATTACACAGGGCTACTCACACTACCACTACAAACAGTGCATTAGAGCTGACAATAAATAAACCCTGAAATGTTCATTTTATCATAGTTTAGTGTTGTTCAATTAAATTAATCTAATCATGCGATAAACATTCTTAATATCATTTCATAACTTCTTGTATGATATAGTTTTACAGTTCACCACGCATAAGCATATCATAGCTTCCAGTACACAGATATTATTTATTATGTTGTTTATTTTCCATTCTACTTCTTGGTATTTTTTGCTGTTTTTGCTACTTTGTGTTTGTTTTTTTGTTGTTGTTGATTTTTTAAATTTTATTTTTCGAAATATTTCTTTAAAAAATGTTCGATAAAATTAGACGCAATATTATAGAAAAGTGCTGAAAATTCCACACTGTACTACTAGTACTGTTTCTGGAATAAAGCAAATTATTATTACTAATATTATTATTACTTGAGAGTTATCAAAACACTTACCTCTAATATTATGACCCATTAGAAATCGTTCAAACTCCAGACTTACTAATTCATATAAGATGAAAACTAAGCTAAATGACATTCAACTGGAGAATGACGAAAGAATGGTTAGTTTTGTTTGATATAGCTAACCTTTATACTAATATACCAATCAGTATATCCTTAGAAGCAGTTAAAATACAACTAACTGCAGATCCTGAACTCACTTATAGAACGAAGCCACCCAGTGAAGAAATTATTTTAGGAATTCACATCTACTATGCCTCATATCTACTATCTTTGAATTCCAACGCAAAATATATAGACAAACAGAAGGTGTAGCAATGGCATGGATCACAATATCTCATATATTTATGGACAGCTGGGAAAATATCGCTCTTAATACATTTAATCCTACTCCATAAATATGGTGGAGATATGTGGATGACACTTTCACAGTGTTAAAAACAGAACATATCTCAAGCTTCTTGACACATATAAACTCACTAGTAATGGAAATAAAATTCACATTTGAATCGAAAAATGAACAAGGCAAATTAGCTATGTTAGACTGTAAAATAAAACGATTAGAAGGAGGTAAACTGCACACTAGTTTTAATATAAAACCAACTAATTCGAATAGATATTTAGACTTTAATTTGTCTCATCCGTTAACTGTTAAGGCAAGCTGAGTTAAGTGTCTAACATGGCGAGCAGTAGCATTGAGTAGCACAAGAGAAGACCTAAATGATGAAATAAAACAGATAGAAGAGGCGTTGGTGTTGAATAAGTATCCTATAAAATTCATTAGGAAATATCAAGGAAGGCCAAAATAAAATAAAAATCGTTGTGAAACTAGTAATGATAACATAAATAAGAGATAATATAGGGCATCTAGTGTTATACAATATAAGGAGGGGACACCGAGACCATGCGTAGGATTCGGAATAAAGTAGGAATTAGAGTAGCATTCAAGCCTACAAACTCACTCGCAGATAATCTCTGAGAGTTAAAGGTGCCCATTGACCCAATGGAACAAAATAATATAATTTACAAAATTCCCTGCAATGATTGTGAGTTAGGTCAACTTCATAGGTCAAACTACTAGGTCAGGGGTAGTCAGATTGTTGGAACATGAGAATTTAGGTAAGGTAAGAATGGTTGCAAAATACCTTAAGAAAGCACACTAGTTATTAGCATTCTACGTCTTGGTACAATGTATGATGGAAGAAAATAACTCCGTATAAATCTCGCATTTCTTTCAATTGCTAACAAAATTCCATATTATTTTCTGTTTCTACGTGCACCATGTTCTTATGTCACTTATTAAATTATTCTTCTTATTACGCTGCTGTAATAAACTATTTCGCTTTTGTCTGTGCACTGACAACTCATCATCACTACCGGCCTACAAATCTTCACTCCAATCCTCGTTATTGTTTGATCTTTCAACATATTTTTTAAATGATTTTATATTTCGAAACAGCATGAACTTTTGCAACAGATGCATCCGAATATTTCTGTCCTGTGGAAAAAGTACAGCTTGAAACAAAGCAATGATTTTCATTATTATTCTGAGAATCTCCTTAAATGTATCAGCCACAATGTAACACGATCAACCTAGTGAGATTTAATTCAGTTTCAACCTGCAAATTATCATAGTTAGTATTTTAGAATATTAAAGTGCTAAGTGGGAGAACCACGACTGATTTATTAAACTATGAATCGTAAATAATTTGCATTCGAGAGTGAAGGCATCATGGTGTCAACCTTAAGTTAGTGATCTATCCACAAATCAGCTGACGCACACTTAACCACATTCACGTGTTTCACCTAATTAGTGAACTGTAGGTAGAAAGCAAGCCTCACGGCTTAATTTCAATTGAGTAAATAAAATCACAGGAATTGAAGTCGCTGTTCAATTCACTTGACCATCACAAATTTATCTGAAAACATTGTCTTTGGTACGATTAAAAGTCGACAGATACACTTCACATTTAGACACTTTGCAAACAAATTTGTCTGTATCGCTGGTGTAATTTTCTGAGCACTGCTTTAACTTATGGCGCCTCCAGTAAACTGACATCGTATAACATTTGCGAGTGTGTTTAAACATTGTTGGTAATTTCTGTAGCCTGTATGCAGGTGACAGCGTAATAAACGATGGCACTGTTCCTATTCTGAACAAACTGTTGTTCTTGCTTTATTCAAATTCGTAAAGAGGAATAATTCCATTAGTCTTATACACTAATAACAATAATCATAATAATAGTAATCATAAAAAAGCTTTATTTTGGACAATATGTGAACACATATTAATGAAATTCTCAGCATACTTTGTTCCGAAATATTTCCGCTTCATACAGAATTTACATGTAAAACAGTAATCTGAAGTACATAGTTTTTCGTAGTGTTGTTGTATATGAGGACAGAAGCAATTCTGTGTAAACGTTTCTCTTCAATTCCTTGGAAAATTGCGTAGCGTGCAGTGGGAAATTATTTGAGTATGCGCGCAAGTACATGTGTTGGTCATGTGATGTAATTACACGATTGAAACAATAAAAAGTGCAGAAGAGTTTAGGCATTTCGATGGATGGTAGATGTGGTAGTCCAGGGAATTTGTGGTGGCAGACCAACGGAAATATGAGGAAATATACCAGGTGAGAACACAGGAGGTACACATATCAATTGTATCGTAAATAACTTGATTGATGATATTGATGTAATAATCTGACAACTGTAGGAAAGAACTAAATGACAGTTCTATAGATGATAACAGTTTCAGAAAAATAAAAGCAGATGGAATCACTTTGAAAATACAATCAGCAAATTGAAGTACTGAGACTTTTTGAAATGGAAAAATTTAATAATACTTGATCCATAAAAATATTATTGAGTAACAGTGAAATCAGTGGAAATGTTTTAATTGATAGTTAATTTGGGAATGAGATAATGTTTCAAAAGCTCAGATTCTGTTCATCATGTGCAAAGTGACAGTGTGAAAGTAAAGGAGGATAGTACGTGTTGGGAGAATGTCAGTAATGGAAATTATCTTGTCCTCAGAATAACGAGATAAATACCATGATAGCTATACAGAAAGACATGAGTACTTTTCCGTCTGGAACACATTTCACTTGTCCTGATCCAGTTATGAAGTAGTCCGGATCAAATAATCTGTAATCAGATGAACAATATTCGAAAAGAAAAGAGAAGATAAGAAGTCATGCTGCCTTCATGATAACAAGAGCACTCAAATTCGATTATATTAATCAAAATGATTGCTAAGGACTGTGAGGATCACTGATCCATCCGCTCTCAAAACAATCCTAATCCACCTTCAGACTTCCTCCGGTAGTAATAATATTCTATAGTTGGGATAGGATAGGAAAAGGTGGTCAGTTTCTGGATAAATGTAAAGATGATCCAGATTCAGACAAATGCAGTACTTCTAGAGACATATTGTCGACACACACACACAGTCGGCTTCTCCTGGTTAATTCCAAGGAAGTGGAAGTGGAAGCAACTCAATAGGAGTCTGAAAATGCCCCTGTAAGTGATACGTTATCCCTTTACTATTACCGAAATGCGGCAGATAACACCTATTTTGAGGAATAAGATGAAACCGTTACTTCACTTTAATTTTTACAGTAATTTTCTTGCTCAATTGTTACCACTTCTCATCATGCAGACAAATCGTGCACTGAAATAAAAGGCTACTTATATTCATATTGAGCTAGTGATGAGGACATAATTGAATGGTATTTTATTCCTCGTTTCGTTCCCTTAAGAAGACGAAGTTTACCTTCTCATAAGCATACCTATAGGCAGTCACATTGTGCACTCATTGCCATATGCACTTAACAGAGCTTAAAATATTGTCAGATGGCTTGAAAGGCAAATCAAATACGAAAAGATCATAAAAGCTGGTGGTCAATTACCAGCCGTTTATCCAGCAAAGTATTTTTTCGATAGGAGTCATATACAGAAACAGACAATATGTCATTATAATGTATGCTGAAATAAAACTGGCTGTGCACATGCAAAGACAATTTCTTGTCGTACTTACTTAACAGACCAAGGTAGTTCTTACTATATTACCTTGTTAGCCTGCTTAATCTTAAATCCCCTCTTAACGCTGTTAATTTTCTTCGACATTTCATCTTTTCATGTTTATATAAATTGAGCTGAAATGTAGATGTGGCTGCTCAAACTGCATCATAATTTCAACATATAATGTATCCACCATGAAAGTTATTGAAATTTATTTAAGTGAGCGATCACTGATGATTTTCGAAGTGATGACGTACAACTCCTATCATGCCTTCATCAGTTTTTAGTGAGATTTCCCCTTATCTGACATATATTCAAAAAAATATTCCCATCTTACATATAATCGAATCTTCTACATTTCAAACAAAGATAATTCCTCGCATTCATTTTTATATTCAATCCTCGAGTTAATTAATGACAATTTACACAACATTATGGTTAATGACGCTTGACTAGGAATTGAAGACTTGGCTTGCTTCAGGTGTATAAAGAAGACATTTGATTCAGTAGTCAGAAATATCTTACCCGAGTTGGCTGTAAACGAATACCAGTAACAAGACAAAAATGACAAGTGAGACTGACACAGTAGTCGTCATTTGAAATGAGTTGCATTCTCAGAATCAAAGAAAACAATTATAGAAGATGACAAGTCTTGATTTAAACGGACAAGGAGAAAGATGTTTCCATATTCAATGAAATTAACCAATGAGGACTATGGGGACCAAAGACCTTTTAACACTCAAACTTATCCTCCTGCATTATTTTATTCTTTTACATCGTCAGCGGAACACAATGGCTTCGAGCTCGATACTTGAAGTTTTGGCAGTAGCAGTGTGTATTTTGATGAGTTTGAGTTGCTAGCCTGATGTCCAACCTCCCGTCTTTACCAGTCTTATAACTGGCTTAGCAAAGTTAGAGAGTCCACTGGTTGAGGACAGAGCCTCAGACCTTCTGCGTGGATGGTGGGCGTTCTACAGCTGTGCTATCGCCACCCTCCTGTATTGTGCAGAGAAATTATTTTGATAAATCCCCGCGGCACTACACAGTAGTGTTTACTGGTGATGTTCCTATTGTATGTGTTGTGTGAAGATTCTATGAACAGAGATTGTGTGATCGACCTTCCTCTACATTTACCCGTATTACTGTTTAGAATTTTAACTCTGGAGAGCGACTGATCAGGTTTTCTTCAAATTTCTAATCTCCGCGATGCGAATCATTCTACATTTAGCTAAATTCTTCTGTTCTGATAATCTGACTACCCCGATGTACTGGTTTGACTTATGTGGTGGCCCTACAGTCATTGCAATATATTATCAGATAACGGATGAGATTAATTGAAGTATAAATATCTATTAGCAGAATGTGTTGTCTTTTGTAAATACCACTGTAGTGTCCACCTTCTTGCATTGGTTTTATTAAGCACTCTAAAATAGCTGATTCTGTTTGTGAACATTTTGGAGATATAATCTGGTTTTAATACACTTTAACGTTTCATCCCAATCTCTCCACCATATATTTGGAGTTCGAGTAATGCCGAAAGTCTAATTTAGGTTCACTGTAAACAGATATCGGTGAAAACAAAAATAACGGTTAAATAAGGCTGCTTTCTTAAATTTCACTGAAAAAGAATTACATTCCGAAAATCGAATACAGAAAAGTGTAAAAACATAACAAGACTTCGTGCATTTTCTCTAGGTCCCACAAAAGAACATGATGATAAGAGAGCTTGCATCTTTCAGAACTTATACTAACCCACTAATACTAATCCTAATACTAATATCTTCCATCACTGTTTACATGGTGCATGGTGTTAACTGTGAGTTGAATAAAGCATGAATTATTGATCGAATCAGAAAGACCACCTGGATAAAGACAAACAATAAGCTGATGCAGGTAATCTGATCAGAGATTTCAGGTAATTGTGGCAATCGACATTTTCTTCTGGGAATTCAATGCTAAGTTGCTTTGAAGTGAGTAACAACAAGACAATTTTGTTAGCAAGAAAATCTTACCCAGGTTTTCTGTAAACAAATAACAGTAACAAGAATGACGACTGCTTTTGAACACCAAAACTCTTAAAGATGGCAAGAGACATATAATATAATAGCTTATTGGTGTTCAAGAACTATCCTATACCAATCATTAAGAAGATCAGAAAAGGCGAAAATCGAAATACAAATAATGGTGAAAATAATAATTATAACATAAATAAGAAAAAAAAATATAAAGCATCTACAGTTTCACCGTATAAGTAGAGGACATCTGTGACCCGCTGGAAGATTCTTATGAAGAAAGAAATCAGGGTGACACTCGAACATACCAACTCACTCAAAGAGCTCTGTAGGTTAAAATAACCCGTTGACCGAATTAAAAAAATAATACAATATTCAAAATACATTGCAATGACTGTGAGGCCACTACATAGATCAAACCAGTATATCGGGGTAGTCAGATTATCAGAACAGAAGAATTTAGCTAAATGTAGAATGATTCGCATCGCGGAGATTAGAAATTTGAAGAAAACCTCATCAGTCGCTCTCCAGAGTTAAAATTCTAAACAGTAATACGGGTAAATGTAGAGGAAGGTCGATCACACAATCTCTGTTCATAGAATCTTCACACAACACATACAATAGGAACATCACCAGTAAACACTACTGTGTAGTGCCGCGGGGATTTATCAAAATAATTTCTCTGCACAATACAGGAGGGTGGCGATAGCACAGCTGTAGAACGCCCACCATCCACGCAGAAGGTCTGAGGCTCTGTCCTCAACCAGTGGACTCTCTAACTTTGCTAAGCCAGTTATAAGACTGGTAAAGACGGGAGGTTGGACATCAGGCTAGCAACTCAAACTCATCAAAATACACACTGCTACTGCCAAAACTTCAAGTATCGAGCTCGAAGCCATTGTGTTCCGCTGACGATGTAAAAGAATAAAATAATGCAGGAGGATAAGTTTGAGTGTTAAAAGGTCTTTGGTCCCCATAGTCCTCATTGGTTAATTTCATTGAATATGGAAACATCTTTCTCCTTGTCCGTTTAAATCAAGACTTGTCATCTTCTATAATTGTTTTCTTTGATTCTGAGAATGCAACTCATTTCAAATGACGACTACTGTGTCAGTCTCACTTGTCATTTTTGTCTTGTTACTGGTATTCGTTTACAGCCAACTCGGGTAAGATATTTCTGACTACTGAATCAAATGTCTTCTTTATACACCTGAAGCAAGCCAAGTCTTCAATTCCTAGTCAAGCGTCATTAACCATAATGTTGTGTAAATTGTCATTAATTAACTCGAGGATTGAATATAAAAATGAATGCGAGGAATTATCTTTGTTTGAAATGTAGAAGATTCGATTATATGTAAGATGGGAATATTTTTTTGAATATATGGTGTTAATGGTGAGTGGAATAAAGCTTCGGTTATTGATCGAATCAGAAATACCACCTGGTATAAGACAAACAATATGCTTATGCAGGTAATCTGATCAGAGATTTCAGGTAATTGTGGCAATCGACATTTTCTGCTGGGAATTCAATTCTTAGTTGCTTTGAACTGAGTAACAACAAGACAATTTTGTTAGCACTAATATCTTACCCGGACTATTACGCTACATTTTGCTCATAAATAAAATCTCTTATTACTCTAAAATTTTATGCAAAGAGTTTGCGGAAATTATCACAATTATTAACCTTTCGAACACTGAATCCAAAAAATACAATCTTATTGACAGATAATACACATAACCCACTGTTTGGATTTGTGGAATTTTTAAACATAAACACATCTATAATTGTATATATTGTTGGATTTATATGTTCAAGTTGCTCCAAGTCAGTGAGTTTATGGTTAAGATATCATTTTAGTTAAATGTACTGAACTATATTGCATGTTGTCTTATTGTATAGTTGTCGTCGCTTTTTGCCCTTTTTTCTGTGAACTGTTTCCTTTGTTGATGTTGTTCTCATTGTTTGTCCGTTATTTTCTGATTTTGAGGGGAGCAACCCAAAAAGTTGCTTCTCTCTAAACTTTTACTTAATGTAATCATTCTTTTCTCAGGCGTGAGGCTAGCAACCCCACCCTGTAAACAAAAATTGCTAAAGAAACTTCAGTATGATGA